TAACCTCAAGGTTAACTGTTCGAGCCCACCAGCTGCTCCATGGGAAATGATGAAGCTTTCTGCTCCCGCAAAGATTTACAGCCTCGGAAACGCTATTCAGGGTAGCTATGGGTCGGAACCGACTCCACGGCACTTAACAACAATGACATCACGTCATTCTTAAGGATATGTATCATGGAATCGGATACCCATACACCAAAGTGTCTCTGTGACTTTATTGTTTACTTCTTTATTTTTATATTTGCTCATATCCATAATAACCCAATGTAGTTTGCAGTCTACCTTAGGTGGAATTGCGCTCCCTCGGCCATTTTCCCTAAGCTTTGTAAAGGCTCATATTTCCTGAAATGTAAATCACTGCCTAGCGGTTTCCTGCTCCGCTACTCCGTTTTTCCTCTCAGTGTCCTCCTTCGCTCGCTTGGGGTCCGGGCGCTTACATCGCTTAGGTGTCAAAGGAAACTGGAGGTCTCGCTTCTTGGTGCCCTAGTCTCTTAACCCCCGAGCCCCAGTCCTCGCTCTGCCAGCTCCTCTTCTAGGCCCGCCCCGCGCCGTTCTAGGAGGAGCCTAGAAGCCCTCTTTCCCAGTTGATGGGGATTGTGGTGCGTAAACAGTATTAACTCTCTCCGCCCCAACTGCCGCTCTCCTGACCCGCGGCCTGCGGCCGGAGCTAGTCCTCCGGTGCGTGAAGGGAACAGCACGGGGAGTGGGGCATGGGGAAGCTCGGGGATTGGGAGCTGCCTCTGAGGCCCGCTTCCTCCCGGAGTGGGGCGGGGGACCACTGCTTCACGACTTGCTCCTCAAAAGCCCGAGCGGACAGTGGCGACGGCGCGGGCTCCTAGCCATACCTCCCCTCCACCACCTCCGGCTCCCGCCCCGCGCTTCCTCTCCGCCCACCGAGCTCCAGCCGCCTGGTCTCTGTGAGCTCCAGCCCAGCCCCGGGAGCCGCCGCACCAGCCCCTTGCCCAGCCATGGGGGACCTGCCTGGCCTGGTGCGCCTCTCCATCGCTCTGCGCATCCAACCCAACGACGGTCCGGTCTTCTTCAAGGTGGATGGGCAGCGCTTCGGCCAGAACCGCACCATCAAGCTGCTCACCGGATCCTCCTACAAGGTGGAGGTGAAGATTAAGCCCACCACGCTGCAAGTCCAGTGAGTGCGGGCTGGGGAGGGGGCCTGAAATCCGGCGCGCGCAACCGCTGCAGGGCCCCGCCCGGGTAAGGACGGAGGCTCCGGGCATCTGAGCCTTGCGTGGTGACCAGAAGGCCGCGGGGAAGAAGGCAGCTCCCTGTTTCCCTTCCTCTCTCCTCTTTTGCTTTGATGGCTATTCTCACGCCTCTCCACCCATCGCAGCGATCTCAATGGGTCCCTTTAAAACAATTACTAGAGGCCAGATTTGCTTTCCTTGTAAATGCTCACCCCATCTGTCTAGCTGCTCCTAGAAGGGCTATTTCCGTGGTCAGCGCTGAACCGTAAGCGGATGCGCTGGGGAAAAGCTCACCGCGGGGTTCATCTACCGCAATCCCAGCCCTCCTGTGCTGGCTAGTTTCCCGCCCCTGCCCTGCGGGAAAGGCTGAAGGAGGGAGAAGGGTTGAAGACTGAGGTGTAAAAACAGGGGGGTCTTACTGGGTCTCCTTGAAGGATAATCCCCACTCTTTCATCCACTGTTATGTGGCTGGAGACCCTGGGGCATGTGGAACAGGCTCAACAAGTCAGAAAGCCCCTTCTTTTCTGCTCAGGCCTAATACCACAAAATTCCTTGCCTTTGTGTTTTTCTTCTTCTCCTAAGTTTGTTTGGTGCTTTAAGTGAACCTCATCCAGACTTCAAGGCTTTCTGGTTTATTCATGGCAGAGATTTTGCTTCCCTGTATCACATGATGCTGCTCCAATAGACCTTTGGTGGAAAAACGAGTGTGGGACTGTGACTGGGGGGTGCACTCATCCGTGGGTTGGGTCCTTTAGCTGAGATTCCACCTGATCATGGGTGTGAAGTATAGTCTGGCAGGAAGAAATAACCCACATTTTATTGCATCTACCATCAGACACCTTTTATCGCTTTGTTGTTGTTGTTGTGTGCCGTGGAATCGGTTCCGACTCATAGCAACCCTGTACAGGGTTTCCAAGGCTGTAAATCTTTGCGGGAGCAGAAAGCCTCGTCTTTCTCCTGTGGAAGAGCTGGTAGTTTCGAACTGCTGACCTTGAGGTTCGCAGCCCCATTCACTTTAGTGCCCACCTATATTCATTAATTCAATACATTCTAATTCCATCTCTAGCAGCCAACCACTAATGGAGGGACCTCGAACCAAGCCTTGTTGTTTCTGGTCCATCTATTCAGACCATGTGTACCCCAGATCCCCTACAGCTCCATGTACCCATTGCCTTCACATTTCCAGGATTCTGTACATTTGAATATGGTCCAGGCTTTTCCTTTCTCTATTTTCCTAGCAACCCTTCCATATGTCTAGTGACACTTAAATTTTATCAAGGGGTTTTCGATACCCTAGCCCAATAGTTCTCAAATATTTCCTTACATCAGAATCACTTTGGGGAGCTTGCTAAAACCCAGGTTGTTTGTCCTCTTTTGCAGAATTCCTAGTTTAGTGCTTCTAGGGGAGGGCCTAAAAACTACATCCCTAAGAGATTAGCAAATGCTGCTGCTACTGCTGTTCCAAGGATTCCATCTTGAAAATCGTTGCCCTAAACAGGGTTTCATACTGGTTTATTCCACTTCAACCTCCAACTAAGAATTTGCCTTTCCGCCCCCCCCAAAGTATATTGAATCAGAGCCTACATTTTAACAAGATCCCCTAGATCAACTTGTTATTGTTGTTGTCAAGCTCTGTCAAGTCAGTTTTTACTCATAATGACCCTGGACAGTGTTTCCAAAGAGTAGGTAGTGGGTTTGAATTGCCAACCTTGTGGTTAGTAGTCCAGTGCTTATCCTACAGTGCCATGCCAGGACACCCTACCTGTACATTAATAGCACCTGGAAACCCTTACAAAAAATTTATCGCTGCCAAACCACTGCCCAAATTATTTGAATTCCAGTCTCAGTATTTCAGATAGGACTGGACATAGGTAGACTTATAGAGTATTTTAATGCCTTACAAAGTATTTTATGAGTAATTAGTGAGGTTGTTGTTATAATGTGCCGTGGAGTCAGTTCCAACTCATAGCTACCCTGTACAGGGTTTCCGAGGCTGTAAATCTTTACGGGAACAGAAAGCTTCATCTTTCTCCCGCGAAACAGCTGGTAGTTTCAAACTGCTGACCCTGAGGTTCACAGCCTAATTCATAACCGCTACGCTACCAAAGCTTCCCAATCATTTCAAAACTGGCCTTGTATAGGTATACTAAATGAAAATATTGAAGTCAGTTAAGAAAACTGAGTAGCTGGTTTACGGCCATATAGCTAAGTAGCAGGTTTAGTTAGAGAAATCAAACCTCCTAACTTTTCACAATGATTTCTACCATATCAGAATATCTCCCTTAAGGAGCTCTGGTAGCAGATTGGTTAAGTCAGGCTGCTAACCTCAGGGTCCAGCTAGTTCAAAATACCAGCTGTTCCGTGAGAGGAAGATGAGGCTTTCTGCTCCCTAAAGATTTATAGCCTCCGAAACCCTATGCAGGGTCACTATGAGTCACAACCGACTCCACAGTACATAACCACCACCACTACAATATCTCCCTTAACCAAGCTCTATCAGATGCCTGCCTGGAGTTTTGGTCCATTTCAGAGCAGAATGCTTAAGCTAAATTCTACAGTATTTGTCTAACTCTTATCGATTACAGGAGCATTTCCATTGGTGGCACACTCGTCCCACTGGAGCTGAAGTCTAAAGAACCTGATGGAGACAGAATTGTTTATACAGGCATCTATGACACAGAAGGTGTGGCCCCAACCAAGAGTGGAGAGCGTCAGCCCATCCAGATCACCATGCCGGTAAGGCCTGTGTGGTTATTCAGGGGATATGCAGGGCCAGGGCAAATGGATACCAAGAAAAAGAAAACTATCAGTATCTTCCTTTAAGAAAAAGTGTCTCCAGTCATCATTGACTAAAGTCTGGCTCATGGTGATCCCTTGTGTGTCAGAATAAAACTGTGTCCCATAGGATTTGCAATGACTGATTTTTTTAACTATAGATTGCCAGGTCTTTCTTCAAAGGCATCTCTGGGTGGACTCAAACCTCCATCTTTTAGGTTAATAGTCTAGCACATTAACCATTTGCACCCACCAGGGACTGCCAAGATAAGTTAAAATGTTAGAAGTTAATTACTATGAAAATCATTTCCTTCGTGAATCTACTGAAAAGCCGCTATGTGAATACTGCTCCTTTCCTTGACAGGCTGATACTATAGATGCTGAAAGACACCATATAAATAGCAACAGATAGTGCTGGGAGAAATAATATATTCTGTATTACAACTGGTTGTGTCTAACTGACCCTGAAAAAGTCTTTGACTCTAAGTAGCCCACAACTTAGCTATGGGAAAGCTGATTTGAATGACATTTTGCCATATCAATCTACACTAAGTGATTGTGCTCTCAATATCTAGTCCTATCAAATATAGCATGTCAAAACAGCAGTGGTTATAGCCAAGTAATGTTGCCCCTGAGGTAAAAATCATTTAAATGAGTACAAAGGATGGCGTCAAACAGTGGACTTAAGTATATGTGCAAAAATAATAGGAGATGAAGTAAGCTTTCTAAATCAAGGGAAAGGGAAAAGTCATCTAAACTGCAGCTTTGAAAACTGGGTAGCATTTTCCCTCTGCAAGAACAACCTTGAATTGTCTGCCCTCTAGCTTTATAGGAATGATTACAGAAGTTCTCAAATATCAGTGCATAAGAACTTCCTAGGGAATCTGCTTTAAAGTGCCAGTCTTACATTTCACTTCCGGTGATTTTGATTTAGTAAGCTAGTTGGGAGTGGAACCCAAGCAACTGAACATATCAGAAGCATACCAAGTGATCCTGATTGAGATGATCCATGGAATATACTTTGAAAAACACTGATCAAAGAGCTAGACTCATAACCCATCCAGAGCTCTGGTAGCATAGTGGTTATGAATTGGACTGCTAATCTCATCGTCAGCAGTTCAAAACTACCAGCTGTTCTGCAGGAGAAAGATGAGGCTTTCTGCTCCTGTAAAGATTTACAGTCTACAAAACCCTATACAGGGTTGCTATGAGTCGGAACCAACTCCACAGCACATAACAACAACATATATATATGTGTGTGTGTGTGTGTGTGTGTGTGTGTGTGTGTGTATACTTTCTCCTATTTATTTATATCTTTGGATGTCAAATATACAGCTAGAACATTATTTTATAAGTCTGCATGAGTACTTTATCCTATGACTATATCAGACTATCTTTAGTTACCTGTTGCTGGTCATTTCCATTTTCAGCCTTATAAAGAAAATAATATTAATCACTGCTTCACAATTGTCTAATATTTTTGTGGAATACATTCCTAGAAGAAATTTGCATGTTAAGACATTTTAAAGTACTGTCCAGCTGGCCTTCAGAAAGACTAGGGAATTTATACTCCTATATTTATATTCCTATAACCTGTATTTAAAGAGCTCTGATAGCATAGTGGTTACAAGTTGGGCTGCTAACCTCAAGGTTAGCAGTTAGAAACTGCCAGCCATTCTATGGAAGAAAGATGAGGCTTTCTGCTCCTGTAAAGATTTACAGCCTTGGAAACCCTATACCGGGTCACTATGAGTCGGAACTGACTCCACGGCACATAACCACTACCACCAGTCTATATTTGAGTATACATCTCTGGGCTAGGTATAATTAATCACTTTTAAATATTTCTTATCGGATAGGTAAGATATTTCATTTTTACTTTTTATTTCTTTAATTACTACTATTTTGAAATCTTGACATGTTCATTTATCATTGCTATTTCTTTCTTTTGGGGATTGCATGCTCCTTTTACTACATGCATACTACATGTATATCTTCCCTTATTATTCTACTGATATGTATCTTTACTGATTTTAAGAAATCTTTAAAATGAAAAATAGTCATATCTTTCATCATATTTAAAAGTATATTCATCATTTATGAATTGACTTTTAACCTTATTTATAATATATCTTAAAATTGTTTGCAGTACAACAATCTTTTATTTTATGGTTTCTACAATTAAGATTCTGCTAGAAATGATTTCCTAACTCCCCAGATTAAGTATGCTAATACCACAATTGTGTATTTTTTTTTAAACTCTCTTGGTCTTATTTGTTAGTATTTGAATCTCTAATGAATTTGAAATTTACTTTAATTCTTGGTTTCATATTGAAATCTATTTGTCAATAATATGCCCCTGTTGGTTTTATTGTTAAGTGCCACAGAGTCAGTTCTGACTCATAGCAACCCTGTGTAGGATTTCCAAGGAGCAGCTGGTGGTTTGAACTGCTGACTTTTCAGTCAGCAGTCCAGAGCTTATCCTACAGTGCCACACCAAGACTCCAATACAATTAATTAAATAGTTTATCCATCTCAAGAACAGATTTTATGCATGAGACACTACTAACCAGAGACCAAAAAACTTGTGGAAGACATCAAGAACATCATACAGGAAGAAAACAAAGACAGGAAATAAAAGACAAAAATGGATGTCAGAAGACACTTTGAAATTTGTTCTCCAGTGTAGAGAATCTAAAAGAAATGAAAGAAATGGTGAAGTAAAAGCACTGAACAGAAAATTTCAAAGGGCAGCTCAAGAATACAAAGTCAAGTATTTGAAATTTGTTCTCCAGTGTAGAGAATCTAAAAGAAATGAAAGAAATGGTGAAGTAAAAGCACTGAACAGAAAATTTCAAAGGGCAGCTCAAGAATACAAAGTCAAGTATTATCATGAAATGTACAAAGGCCTGGATTTAGAAAACCCAAAGGAAAGAACATGCTCAGCATTTCTCAAGCTTAAAGCACTGAAGAAAAAAATTCAAACCTCGGCCTGCAATATTGAAGGACTCCATGGGAAAAATATTGAATGATACAAAAAGCATCAAAAGAAAATGGAAGGTATATACCAAAAATAAATAGTTGATGTCCAACCAATTCAAGAAGGAACATATGATCAAGAACCAATAATACTGAAGGAAGAAGCCCAAGGTACACTGAAGGCATTGGGGAAAAACAAGGGTCCAAGAATTCACAGAATACAAATTGAAATCTTTCAACAAACTGATGCAGCATGGGAGGCACTTACTCAACTATGCCAAAAATTTGGAAGACGGCTACCTGGCCAACTGATTGGATGAGATCCATATTTGCATCCATTCCAAAGAGAAGTGACTTAATGGAATGCGGAAATCATCGAACAATATCATTAATATCACATTCAAGTAAAATTTTGCTGAAGATAGTTAAAAAATAGTTACAACAGTACATCAACTGCAATTTCCAGAAATTCAAGCTGGATTCAGAAGAGAACATTGGGATATCTTGTTAACATCAGGTAGATCTTGACTGAAAGCAGAGAATACCAGAAGGATGTTTACTTGTGCTTTATTGATTGTGCAAAGGTATTTGACAGTGTGGATCATGACACTAGATGGACAACATTGGGAAGAATGGGTATTCCAGAACAATTAATTGTGCTCTTGAGGAACCTGTACTTAGAATAAGAGGCAGTCATTAGAGTAAGCTGTAATCTAAGGTTTAAACGGAAAGGTTTAAAATCAGGAAAGGTGTGTCACAGGTTTATCTTTTCACCATACTTATTCAATCTGTATGCTAAGCAAATAATCTGAGAAACTGGAATATTCGAAGAAGAATGTGACATCAAGATCAAAGAAAGACTCATTAACAACCTATGGTATGCAAATGATACAACCTTGCTTGCTGAAAATGAATAGGACTTAAATTAGGTACTAAGGAAGACCAAAGACTATAGCCTACAGTATGGATTGCACCTCAATATAAAGAAAACAAAAATCCTCCCAACCAGACCAGTAAATAACATCATGATAAATGGAGAAAAGATTGAAGTTGTCAAAGACTTCATTTTGCTTGGATCCACAACCAACACTCATAGAAACAGCAGTCAAGAAATCAAATGACAGTGCATTAGGCAAATTTGCTGCAAGAGACCTCTTTAAAGTGTTCAAGAGTAAAGATACCATTTTGAGTACTGAAGTGTGTGTGACATAGTATTTTTAATGACCTCATATGCATGTGAAAGTTGAACAATGAATACGGAAGACTGTAAGAGAATTGATGCATTTGAGTTTGGCATTAAACAATAAAAATACCATAGACTGCCATAAGAACAAACATCTGCCTTGTAAGATGTGCAGCCAGACTGTTCCTTAGAAGCCAGGATGGTGAGAATTCATCTTTCATTCTCTGGATATGTTATCAGGAGAAGCCAGTCCCTGAAGAAGGATGTCATGCTTGGCAAAGTGGAGGATCATCAAGAAAATAAAAGGAAGACCCCCTAATGAGATGGATTGACAAAGTGGCATCAACAATGGGCTCAAACATAACAATTGTGAGGATGGCACAGGACTGGGCAGTGTTTAGTTCTGTTTTGCATAAAGCCACTGTGAGTGTGAAATGACTCGATAAAACAACAGCAACAGTATGTCTCCAATAGTGTGAGAGTTTCATAGCAATTTCTGACATGGCAAAATTCAAGTCTTACAGAATTCATGGGATTGGACACTCCTGCCTACAAGTTGGATAATATACTTTTTGGACAGAAAGTACAGTAGAATATAAGTATATCATAAGCCAGTAACATAAGTGTTTTATTATGACTATCATAAGTTATATAGGTACATGAAATACATGTGTTGCATGTAGGAAGTTGTGTTTGCTATGTCCATCAACCAACCTGGGTTTCTGAACTGTGTTATAACCTTGTGGGACCACGGATATATATGCATATGGATAGTGCCTGAGTGGATGTTGTACAGATT